AAAAGAAAAAAAAATTCGAATAGCAGGCCATGACTTCGTATCTGAACATAACTTTCAATTCTAAGCAACTTTTCTCTTCAACATATTTCTATATTTTTTTAAATAAAGATACTTTACTCCTGAACGAACTTTATATTGTTTGGCCTATCCTATGGTGTTTGTCATGAAGCCATTTCAGGTACACTTGGTATAGTTTTGGAACATGCACCAACTTTTGTCAAGGATAAAATTTTCTGAAAAATCGATAAAAAAAAAGTTTCCCATTTGTTGCAGACTTAGTGGACCACACTGTATATTAAACTGAAAATTAGCCCTTATATAACACACTGTAGGTAATAATTAAGGCACTTACCCCGATACCCTAATTTGAATGCTGATAAGTAAACTAAATCGATTTGATCATTTAACAGGTTTCACCCGCAATGTTTATGCTTATGAATTTCCAAGGATTCCAAATAATTAAGTTCGCAACCCTTCCTTGGCAAGGAATGAGTTTGTTCCAAAATACCTGTTTTAAATTGATGTTTTGTGATCTGATATTATTGAATATTGAGTTCTTGTTACAATAATACTGTATAGTTTTGAGTAATTTTCGGTGTTAACAAAAAATAATACACCAAATCCAGCTGTAAGTATAATGGTTTCAGAGAACTTCATGATGTATCGCATATTTGTCTGAAGGATTAATCCAAATTGAAATTGGATATCGGTATTTATTTTTTTTTCAGTTGTTTGTTTCTCAATAGAACGAAAGCGCAACTGGGACACATATTAATAACACGCTTTTATTAGCTTCACCTATATGTATGTATAGCTTGTTTGCTGGATCTATTCGCGGGCAGATGGCGCTGTACGTAACATCCTTGATAAAATTCGAACTCACTTTACATGTATTTCTTCATTTGAAAAAAGTATTTTTTGTAAATTAAAAAACACGCTTTTAATGAACATCGAACATTTTTTTTAAATAAGCTTAAAACAATAACGAACGAAACATACTTATATTATTGTAAGAAAGGCGTGGGCGCTTCATGTCATATTTTTTGTATATCAAGCGCCTGTCGCTTTTTT